GTAGAAGGCCACCAGGTTGGTCTGACAGGACCTGCCTCTAATGAACCCGTGTTGGTTGCCCGTAAGCACAGTCTCCCGTGCTGGCCCCTCGTGGACATGTGCCAGGATAATTCTCTCAAAAAACTTGCCCTGGATTGAGGTAAGACTAACTGGCCTATAGTTCCCCAGGTCCTCCTTCCTCCCTTTTTTGAAGATGGGAAGCACATTGGCCCTCTTCCCAGTCCTCTGGCACCTCACCAGAGCACCACGAGTGCTCATACAGCCGTGCCAGGGGTCCCTGCAATGACCTCAGCTAATCCCCTCAGCACTGTGGGGTGGAGATCGTCCGGACCAGCTGATTTAAATACATCCAGTCCCTCCCGTTTTGCCAGTGTGGCTCCATAAGATCCCACTAACAAATGCCAGTAGAAGTTTCTAGTGTAGACTTGCACTACTAGGATGCTATCTTTGCCAGAGGTGATGGGTTCTTAAACGATCTGGGCTCTTCTTTAGACTTGTTCAGTCCATCAGTTACACCAATCGGGCAGTACGCTATGGGTTTTCTGCCTATATTTTAAAACCTAATGCTGTTATTATCGAAACCGGTGCAAAAAGGTCCCTCAGTGATGGTGACTGTGGGAGAAAAGCTCAACAATAGAAATAAAATGCAGTAGACGTGCAGGGGGATTGAAAGAGGGGAACTCACTGTCATTCTCTTGTTTTAGGCAGGATACCTTGAAATCTGAAGAAGCTATTTGCAAAGCTGTAATTCCACGTTGAAGGTGGTGACATGTGCACACGAAGAGAAAGAGGACCTTTGATCTGCAAGTATAATGGAATAGACTTTTCTCCAAACCATGCTAAAGACCATGTGAAGAGTACCACCGAGATGCTCCTGGAAAGGAACTTATTGGCTCAAAGGCCCACAAACATGAAATTTGAAAAACCAGAAAAACAGCCCATATGGAGAAAGCTGTCCTGCTTCTCCAGGGGATTGTAGCTGGTCATTGCAGAGCCAAACCAGAGGTTTGTAATCCTGCCTGGTTTCCCTCCCCCCACACCCACTCTAGGGAGCTGAGGCCTGTCTGCTCAATGTTTGCTGCTGTCAAGTGTGAAATGAATCTTTAAGTCGCTGAGCAGTAATGCAATCAACTATTTAATTTGTCAAGCTGACTCGTATTAAAGCATATGGATTATATTTCTTCTCTAGTTTCCAGGCCCTTGTTGCCAACAGCAGGCTGTAACCTTCCAGTCACAAGCCAAGTTTTAAGAAAAGGAGAGCTTTCCTGCAGTGATACAAAACATTTACAAATGACAAAGGTCCGAGGAAGGCTATTAAAAACCCACTCTCTGCCGTTCATAATTCAGAGTGCTCATCTCTGGTAACTTTCTTTGTGCCTTCACTACCCATCTTACAGCAGCGCAATGGCACGGTGACAACTTGGAGTGCTGTTCTAGTACAGGGGCTTCATAAAGTCCTTGCGCACTTCTAAACGTTAATAATAATTTAGGTTGTAGGTATGATAGAAACAATCTGTAGATGGCATTTAAAAGCAAATTCATTAAAGTTTTAGGACAAGTAGAGTACACAATGTTAGACTTAGTTTCATAGTTGGTAGGGTCGGAGGGACCTGAGTAGAACATCAAGTCCGACCCCCTGCCATGGCAGGAAAGAGTACTGGGGTCAAACGACCCCAGCAAGGTGATTGTCAAGCCTTGTCTTAAAGACCCCCAGGGTAGGAGCCAGCACCACTTAGCTTGGAAGTTGGCTCCAGATCCTAGCCGCCCTGACCGTGAAGTAGCGCCTCCTGATATCTAGCCTAAATCTACCCTCTGCCAGCTTGTGACCGTTATTCCTGGT